GTAAATGTGATGTGTGTGTGTGTAAATGTGATGTGTGCCCTTCCCATGAAGGGCAATCACCAACTGGTTGACTAACAGCTGGCAGGAAATTCTTGGAACCGAGATAGCTGGCAAGATCCACGGTAGCCTATTGGATGTATCAGTTTATCTCCCTGTGTTTATTTTTAGTCCAGTGATCTTCCTTCATAGAGTCACAAACTGTTAGTGCCAGAGCATTAGGCCTTTGAGATCACCTGGTCAAGCCACCTGATTTTACTGATGAAGAAACTAAGGCCCAGGGAGAGGAAGTTACTAAGCCAAGGTCATATAGCTGGTAAATGGACAGAACCAGGATTAGAACTCAATTCTCCTGATTCCCAATTCCTGAGCCATACCACAATAGCAGATACCATGCTGGCACCGTGGATATCGCCGGTGATGCCCTAATGGCACAAGAGAAGCCAGGGATGGGAGACCATGGTAAACACAGGGAAAAGAAGTCAATAACGCTTGTCATAGCTTTCTAATTAATCTCTCTGCTTCTGATCTTTCCCCACTCCAGTCCACCCTCCACACCACTGCTAAAGTGATTTTCTAAAAGTCTGAATCTAACCACGTCACTCTCTTCCTCAATAAACTCCACTGCCTCTCTATTACCTCCAGCATCAAACATCAAGTCATATGTTTGGTTCTTCCCAACCTGTCCCCTTCCTACCTTTCCATGTTTTCACACTTTAGTCCCCTCCACATGTCCTGTGGTTCAGCAGCTCTGGCCTGTTTGGTAGTTCATGCACTGGCTGTTCTCCATTCCTGGCAGACCCTCCTTTCTCACCACCACCTTTTGACATCTCTGACCTATTTTCAGACTCAGCTCAAATGGCTCATTCTGAGGTGGGCCTTCCTGAGTGCCCACCCTGCTTCTCAGTCACATGAACCTTCTAAGGTTACCTTCTATGCTCTCTCTGTATATCTTGTAAGCTTCTACTAATTGTCTTGTTGCCTCACCCATTAGTACGTAAGCTCTTTGAAGGCAGGAACTGTTACTGTGTGTCTGCCCTTTCTTTGTATCCCCAAGCACCTAGCCTAGTGCCTGGCCCTAATACGTGCTCAATAAATACTTGTTGATTGCTCAAATGATAAAGTACTTGAGAGTTTGCAAAGCAGATTATTTCAGTTGGGTCTCACACCAGCCCTGTGAGGTAGATCCTACAAGCTATTTTTCTTTCAAGATCAGACTTATGATCTCAGTGGTGAAGGGAGCTCCTTCTGCCAAGCAGATCAACTTCTGCTCTGCCCTTATGGTGTCAGAGAGGTCCACAAGGCACAGAGGGGTTTTGTGACTTCTCTAGGGTCACACAGCCAGGATATTCCAGGGATGTGACATAAACCCAGATTTTCCTGACTTCAAGACCAGCTCTCTATCCACTACACCACACAGCCTCTCTGTAACACATATCATTATCCCCATTTTATAGAGGAGGAAACTGAGGCTGAGAGACGATGAGTATCTTGCCAGGAACAGTATCTGGGGTGGGATTTGGAACCTGCTGAGTACAGGCTGAGTAAGTGCATCAAACCACCATACCTTGCTGAACTCAGATGTGACAAGGGTCAAGAGGTCACTCTCAAAGGAACTTCAGAGGTCATCTGGTCTAACCTCCTCATTTTACTGATGAAGAAACTTTCCCAGAAAGAAGGCCAAAGTTAGCAGGTGGCCAGAGTGAAGACTTAGACTCATGTAGGCTAGTGAGAAGTCTGGAACGCTTTTTCAGGAGGATATTCTGACTCTGACGTGCTAATATTTTTTATAAAATGTAAAGGTATATATACATATGTGTGTATATATGTGCATATCCATATACACACAAACACACATGTACACACAAACAATACACATGTGTGTGCATATAAATATACATATATAATTATACACCACAAATATGATCATTACATGCAATATTGTGTTATATAATCTGTATATTTGTACATGATTATGTATGATTATATATAATGTGCACATATATCCATATTGCATAATCACATATATTACACGTGACTATATAATAATATATAATTAAGTGCTTGTACATAATAATATGTAACAAAATTAATATAAGATTTTATATAATTACATATGAATATATATTACACGTGTGCATGAGTGTGTTTGTGTGTGCGTGTGGCCGTGCCTACCTACAAGCTGAGAAAGATCCTTTGAATGCTTAGGCACTCCCTAAACTATTGCTGCCGCTTCCTAGATTATTTGTGTACTATTTCCCATGTGTGTTGTTGTACACACTTCACCAGCTGCCAGCCTCCCATATTTCATTTGTGTGGAATGAATGACAGAGAGGTGGGAAATTCCTTGTAATCCTAATTTGATTTAACACGTCACCTAGTATCTACTTTCTGTACATCTTGTATGTAATTTCTGAGAGGCATTATAATGTGGCCTGTGGCATGATGGGTAGAGCTGGCGTTTACCCATAGGCGACCAAAGTTCAAGACTGTGTAATCCTAGGTAAGTCACTAATGATTTCTCCAGTCATCCTCATCCATATCTCACCAGTGGACCCAGATGACTCTGGAGGAGAAAGTGAGACTGGTGATTTTGCACAGCTGTCCTTCAATTAAATCCAATTCACTTGCCCGTCACGGCATCACCTCCCTGCTGTCATGGTCCTCTTCGAGAACGAAGGACAAACAACAGTAATGCACTCTTGAGTTGCCAGATCCAAAGGTCTTTTCTCAATCTTTATTCACCTTCACACACACACACACACACACACACACACACACACACAGAGCCTTCCCCTATTAGCATATAAGGTCCTCTTGGGAGAGGGACTATCTTGCTTGCTTACATTTGTATACCCAGTTCTTATCAGAGTGCCTGACACATAGTGAGCACCTAATAAATGTCTTCATACTCATTCATTAATATTTTTGTTTGTTTTGTTTTGTTTTAATTAACAAGCATTTTTCAATTAAATTACTCCCATTAACTCATTCAGCAAATAAAAAAAAAAGTCCCCAACACATAATTTTATATGATCTGGCAAAATAAACTCCCAATTAATTATATCTAAAAATGTATGTCTCTTTCTACATTTTAAGTTCATCAAATCTCAGAAAGTGAACAGCATGTTTTATCTTCATTCTTTTGGGCTCATACTTCAACATTGAATTGATCAGAGTTTTAAAGTCATTCAAAGTTGTTTTCCTCAATAATGTTGTTATCATTATAAAATTGTTCTCCTGGTTCTACTCATTTCACTCTTTATCAGTTCATGATGGTCTTTTGAGATTCCTCTGAAACTTTTCATTTCACCAGTTATCATGGTACAATAGTATTCCATTACATTCATGTACTACACTTTGTTTAGCCATTTCTCAATAGGATTGCCCTCTTAGTTTGCAATTTTGGTTTTGGCTACCACGAAAAGAATCGCTGCAAATATTTTTGTACATATAAATTCTTTTCCTCTTTGATTCCTTTAGGGTATATATAGGCCTAATAGTGGTATAGCCAAGTCAAAGAGTATGCTTAGATTGGTGACTTTCTAGACATAATTCCAAATTGTTTTGGATGACTGGACCAATCCATAGCTCCCCCAATAATGCTCCGGTGTACCTGTTTTTCCACAACCTCTCCATTATCTGTCATTTTCCTCTTTTGTCATCTTTGACAATCTAATAGAAGGGTTATAAAACCTTAAGTTTGCCTTAATTTTCTTGTTTCTAATTATCAGTGATATAAGACTTTTTTTTTCTGATAGTTGATAACATAGCTTTATTTTCTCCTTTGAAAACTGCCCAATGATATTCTTTAACCATTTGTCTATTGAGAAACAGCTCTTAGTCTTATAAATTTGAATCAATTCTTTGAATAGCTTGGATAGGAGACCTTTAATAGAAAAACTTGTTACAAAGATTTTTCTCCAGTTACCTGTTTCTCTGCTAATTTTTTACTATACTCAATTTGTTTGTGCAAAAACTTTTTAATTTTGTATAATCAAAATGGTCCATTTTGTCTTATATGATCCTTTCGATCACTTATTGAGTCATGAACTTTCCCCCTTTCTATAGATCTCAAAAGCAGTCTCTTCCTTGCTAATCTTAGTTGTTTACAACAAATACGATCTTTTATATTTAGGATATATGACCTTTTATATTTAGGTCATATATCCATTTGGAGCTTATCTTTAATGATTACTGCTGTGTAGTACAGTTTGAGATGTGATTCTAATAGACCCCTTTCCTCTCCACTTTTCTTCATCATTATCCTTGAGATTCTTGATCTTCAGTTTCTCCATATGAACTTTTTCTAGGTCTGTATACAGAATATTCTTTTGAGAATTTGATTGGTAAGACCTGAATGAGTAGATTAACGTATGTACCATTGCCAGTTTTATTACATTTGCCCTAACTTCCCATGAGCATTTGTTTCTTCAGCAAGTCCTGTCTTTATATCAGCATAGGAGGTTTTACAGTTAGATCAATCATTCATTCATTCATTTACCTTCTTTGTACTTTATTTTCCTCACCTGATCAACAAAGACGTGGCCTAGGTGGTCTCTAAGGTCCCTTTCACCTCTACATCTAGGATCTTGTGGCCCTGTGTGGTAAATGTGAGTCTTTTTCCTTTTTTAAATCATTTCCCTCCTTCTCCAACCTGATCCCTTCCATGGAATGGAATGTTTCTGTGAGTGATTTATTTGACCAATATCTGCAGTGCATTATCTGATATATAGAACACACTGGGCCCCAACGTCTAGGTAAATGTTTTGCATAATTGCCCATGTATAACCTACATCTTATCACTTGACCTCTCAGGGAGAGGGGAGGGGAGGGGGGAGAGAATTTGGAACTCAAAACTTTAAATAAAAATGTTAAAAAAATTTTGGAAATTAAAAAAAAAACAATGTCTAGATAAAGACCAAATGTGAATCAATCACTAAGAGTGCTAAATGTGAACCCAGACTAATAATTTCTTTGGATTGTGTGTTTTCTTCTCTCAGGTATCAGACATGCTCCAGCAATGGCCTTGTGGCTGGGTTCCAGAGCCGCTACTTTGAATCAGTCCTAGACCGAGAATGGCAATTTTACTGTTGCCGCTACAGAAAGAGGTGCCCATACTCGTGTTGGTAAGTAGTTGTCTGCTAAATCACCCTGTCATGGACTCCCAGGGCTAGCAGGGGGGCTAAGATTTTTTATTATCCTGAGCCCCTGCTATCTTCAAGACAGAACTTCTACACTTGACCTCCACATTGGTAAGAACCTCTTCAGTGCCCAGAAATCTGCAGACAAGGAAATGTTAAACCCTTTCTCAACATACCCTATAATTGAATGAGATTACAGGCTAAAATAAGAGAGGCATAGGCTTCAAAGTAAAGAAAACAACAGTACTACTGCAGTCTACCCTAGTCGGAATCCATCTAATATCATTTTGTTCTGGTCTTAGCAGCACAATATAGTAGTTGAGGAGTCAGTCTTGGAATAAGGAAGATCTGGGTTCAAATTAAATCTCAGACACTTACGAGCTGTTTGACCTGGTGCAAGTCACTTGACCTCTCTAAGTCTCAGTTTCCCCATCTGTACAACGGGGAAAATAATAACTCCTACCTCATGGGATCATAGTGGAGATGAAATAAGGTAATAGAGTGCTTTTGCTATTATCATATAGTTTTAATATATACACAAGGGACTTTGTTAGGATTTTGAAGATTTAATAAATCTGAGACTTTTTGTAGTTATCAAGCAGTAATTTTAGCATGATCTTGTGTTTTCTATAACTTTCATTCAATTGTATGAGGGTATACTATGGAGTATTACTTCAAAGAGCCTTTAATACTCTCATTAAAGATGCCCTCAATGGGTGTTTAGATGACTTTCATAACAGTGTTATATAAAGGCAGTCATTTTGATGACCCCAAGCTTTTCCCTGAAGCAAAGGTCCATCTTTTACAACAGTATTACAGTATGGTTACAAGTCATGAAACATTCCAGTCCATAAAAAACTGGAATTGAAGATTGACCAAGCAGTAAAGGAGAAGTGCATGGTAGGGGGGAGCTATTGGTACCATGTAACAAATAAGGAATGATGAAGGGGAAGAGATATGTAGATTGTCATCAAAGTAATGTATAAGTGCCTGACCACATGAAAAGACCAAGGGATAAATGATGGATAGTCTAGATGTCCCATTAAGATATAGATGTGTGTAGATGTGTATGCACATGCATGTGCTTACACACACATGTATATACACATATATGATATTTATGTGTGTGTGTTATGGAAACACATGCATGTCCATTGTGTGTATGTGTGTGCATGTGTAACCAGTGTAGCATGGTGGGTAGGGTGTCGCCATAAAAGTCAGGAACACCTGAATTTGAGTCTTGACTATGATACACACTGGCCATACGAGCGGGGGCAAACTACAGTCTTTCATTGCTCTTGGCCATTCTCCAAGACTACAGGTTGTAGGGAAGGTGTCCACCTCTATTGGTAGAGGGAATTTCCTCCCTTGTCTTGGTGTTCTCCATAACAATGAAATCATAAGTCTAGTCCCTATCCTGATATATACATATAGTACCTTCCCCCTGACCCTATGGGACCTTTTAGCAGTGGCATATCCACAAATATTCATCAGAAGTTAACTCCTTTCCAAATTTTAGTAGTTCTTCCTTCCTAAGAGAAGCTGGTCAATGAGGCAAGCACCTAGATCCCTATAAAACAAATAAATCCATATCTTCTTCACTTGCTATTTGGTAGGAAGAATTTCCCACCACCACTGTGTTAAATGATGGCATCACTGAACTCTTTAATACTCAATTAACTGCTAGAAAATTAGGGGGTACGGCAGGTAGAGCTCCAGGTATGTAGTCAAGAGCATCTGAGTCCAAATCTGGCCTCAGACATATACTAGATGTATGACCCTAGGCAAGTCATTCAATCTCTATGTGCCTCAGTTTCTTCATCTGTAAAATAGAGATAATAACGGTAGTACCTGCCTCCCAAGATTGTTGAGTGGAACAAATGAAATATGTAAAGTGCTTAGCAAAATACCCGACACATAGTAGGCACTGTATAAATGTTACCTATTATCATTATCATTATTAAATTAGTAGCTTACTTTGATCCTGTGCTAGAATATTGGTCTCAAAAGAAGGATGTAGGAAGATATACTTGCTGCTTGACCCACCCCTTTGCAGGACACTGATGCCGGCCCAGGAAGGGCAGGGCAAGTTTAGGAAAGAGCTCTCAAGTTATTTACAATAGAAACAGGGTAAACCACTTTTTGAATCAAGTAATTTAAAGATTCCGCTCAAAATTCTAGCCCTGGTGATGGCATTTGAAATTTTAAAAAGGTCAGAATTGAAAGGCATTGTAGCATTCATTTGGCTAAACCACTTGCTTGCAGCAAAAATCTTTCCAGTTCTCCACAACGTTGCCATGGAAAGAAAGGTTAGTGAGATGCTAACTACCCCAGTGCCAGTGGGTGCCAGCTATTGTAAGGATAGCTCATCCGCTTCTAATTGTTGTATTTTGAAAAGGGCAATGCTCCCGGCAGTCACTATGGCAGCTACCTTCTTCTCAAAGAACTTTCTCTTTCTGGAGCAATCAACAGTTTCCCTCATGAGTCAGGGTGAACTCTGCCCTTCTTACAATTCTGTTCTCTTCCTCTTAAGTATCTCATTTCCTTTAGTGTTTGCTCCAGTTTTTGTATTGGTATTATATTAGGGGATGAGGAACTTTGTACAACCAATCCTTAAGTAACTTTTATCTGACTGCCTTTTCACTTCAATTTTTTTTAAGTGCCTACTATGTGCAAGGCATTGTCCTGAATAAACACTGGGGATGATAAAACAGAGGAGCTACATTCTGCTCCAGGGAAACGACACGTACACAGATAAGTTGACACAAAATATAACCAAAATAATATGGCCTGTGGCCCTGCAACCATCCTCTCTTTCAGCCCCAAATTCATGTGGACTCGTTCAATCACTGGAGTTTCCTTGGAAGGTCACTTTTTGGTTTATCATTTCCCAATCCAGAGTTTATTCTGGAAAATCCCCAAATGTAGCCTGAGAATAGCTCATGTCTAGGCTTCCACAAATTGAGTAACAACAGGGTCCCCAGACCCTGAACAAGCACTCAAGGTAATAAATGTATATTGCACACAGGATAGTCTTTCACCCCTAAGTAAACACAGAAGTCTCACCAGACTTGTGACTTCTGATAGAGAAATGCAGATGATGTACGTTTATACGTTATAAGATACATAATCAACACAACTTTCTTCTTTTTACCACTGCAAATAAAAAATAGAACCTACGCTTTGAGTGAAGTCCACAATGAAACAATCAGCTTCCAAATTAACTCATCTTTCTAAACCATTCTGTTTTCCCCACTCGTCTCCTTTACCTATTTCCTCACCTTGGTGCTCACAGCCCCCGCTGATGGGAAGATTTTAGTGCTATTATTTTATCAGGTAGACTTCTGACAATGTTCCACATAGGACTGGAAAGTTCTCAAGGTGGCTTCTTACTGCTGAATAAAGCTATTAAAGTTCTAATTCTGTAGCTTTAATTTCCTAGCAGTTACCTACTTTCTTGTTCAAGTATTACCTTCTTTCTCAGCAGACTATCTGAGATTCGATGGTAAAGGACTAAATTTAGAGTCAGAAATCTGAGTTCAAATTTCACTCTTTCAGTTACAACCTATGTGGCCTTGGTAAAGTTGCCTTATTTCTCTAGGCCTCAATTTCCTTTTAGAGCCCCTAAAAATCAACTCAGTTTCTTAATAAGAATACATTTCATTTTGGAAACATGGTATTAATTTACTAAAAGCTTTTGTTCCTTCAAATAAGAAATTGAATCCATCTGCTGATAATCTATTAATTTTTTCAAAATAATTATATATAATATAAATATAATAAATTAATCAATATAACATTTATTTTTAATATGTTAACTAGTAATATAATTAATATAATATAAACTAATATAATAATTATATATAATGCAATTTTATCCATGCTATATCGCTATGAGAAAAATAGGGCAGTTGTTAGCCCTATTTTGCATATTAGAAAACAGGCCCAGAAACCCTGGTTGATCTGACTGCATGTTCATCTAACATTCAACTGCCTCTCTTTCTAATACTTTAAGAGATTGGTGATAACGTCAAGATGAAGATCCATACTGACATGGGTCACACACACCCCCTTCACCAGCTAGACAGCTCTTATCACAAGGCTTATAAAAATTAATCATCTGGTGGCCAAGTTTTGATGCTAAGCCTTCTCAATTTTAGCTAAGCCTGGATATCTTTTCAGACTGGTAGGTCCAGTGCATGCATGCACTACCCTGAAATAGTTTTCAGGATCTCAGAATCATCTCCATTCTATAAGGAGACATGGAGGATGAATTCAGCACTCTGCTTTAAGCTTAATAAACCCTGGATTGACTGATAGATTGATTATTTTCTCAAAGAAAATACAAGTTCCTTGAAGGCAACCAATATCTTCCTTTTGGTCCCCAATGACTAGCATACCAGACACATAATAAATGTTTGTTTGAATGAATTACTGCTTATAGTTAAAACAGTAATAAAAATAGGAATCTACAGAATGATAGGTAGACATAGAGGAGTTAGGGGGAGGAAGGAGATTACCTGATAAGGTTTTAAATCAAAGAACCACAAAATCTATAAGTAGAAAGGATCTTCTAGTCCAGTAATCCCCTCTCTTACATCCCTAACAAATATTTGCCCAACCTTCTTTCCATCCAAGGAAAGGAAAGTCAATATTCTCCCCACCCCATTTTACTTTGAAGCAGCTTTGATTATTGAGAAGTTGTTCCTTACATTGAAATGAAGGACAAACACAACAACTCCAAAGTAACTTCAACAGACTTTCTAAAACAAAGCTTATGTGTGGCTCACATCAAAGGTCCCCTCAAGTCAACAGGGTCACTTCTACAAAAGGTACTCAATACACAATATGGGCATTAGATATAAAACAATTGTTTATTTTCTCTACCAAAGAAATTGCTTAAGGTGCAAAAGGTCCATAGCTACTTATTAATGAACAGAAAACACAAACTTTTCATCATGCTCTCCCTGAAAGGTAAATAAGAG